AAAAAACTAATGCAAAACAATGGAAAACTGTCAAAACAGTGCTATAGGACTGAGCCGGCCGAATAACACCACCCTTTAGGCGAGTCATTTCAGAAAACAGTACGGCGAGAGGAAGGTCCTGGCGCAACCAAAGTTGTGATGCTCCGACGTACTGCTTATCCCACAATCTGTCACTTTGGCGTTAGCACTTGCAGCGCGCGAGACGGCAGGCCCGGTGCTTAACTCGGGTTGTCATGGTGGTCATGTGTGCACCATGTACTCATGTCGAGAGGAAGGAAAACCTGATTCTTCTTCCGTCATGGCGTGCCATGATTGGTACCATCAAGCGACAGCAACTGAATGATGCTGACAGGGACAGCAACAGCGTTAACAGTGCGCATCACAATCTCGATTCTCCGTCGATGGATGGATCCGCGGTCAGCCCCCAATTGCCCGAGAAACTTTGATCATTCTCCAGGCTTCATATTACCAGCGCCAACTTCAGAATATCCATGATCGGCATCATCTTGGCACATGTTCTTCAACTGCAATTCATGTTTTTCAACGGAAATGGGTCTGCTCGATCGACACTACAAGTAACCCCATAACAAACCGGCATGAAATACGGGAGAATTTCTCCTGTTTAAGATCCAGAAGAAGGTGTGACATTTGTAGGAAGGAAATGATATGGGTCCGTGTGCTGATCTGTGGACTACCACGTATCGACAAGTGATTCGCAAGGTAGCTAGCGAACTGTATAGAAGTGGTCCCAGAACTTCAGGGTTTCAACGGAACGCACGTACAGAACAGGAAAACACCAAGGAGCTTCCTGTGCAGCAGGAACGAGCTAGCGAGATGAGATGCCGTCCGACGATCGAGAGCAAGCAAGCGCGGCGTCGTGTCCCTCTCCGGCGTGGGGCACGCATGGCATGGGATGGGTCCACGGACGAAGGCCGACCGGCCGGAAAGCAGGCAGGCAGGCAGGAGCATATGGCAACAGCTAGATCTCTTCGGGAAGTTAAGGAGAGCGAGGCGCAGCGTCACGTGCGTGCTCGCCTTCCTTTCAACGACGGGTCGCCGTCGCCGTCGATCGAACGACGCCTAATAAATTAGATCCTTCGATTCTCTTCCATGTGTTGTCCTGGGTCCATATGCGTATGCCGGCCGGCTTTCCCTTCCATCGTCGTCTTCTTCTTTCCGCCGTCTCACCGAACAGAGATAGATGATGGAGTACAGTAGCTCTAGCTCTAGCCATGGATCGGAAGCTCCTTAATTTAATCTATCTCCAATTATTAGCTACTAAGATCCTAGCACGTGGCTGGTCGATCGAATTCTCTACTTGTCAAAACAAAGCCTGGCCGATCATGCTTAATTTGGATACTGATCATGAGGTCTTTTGATCTGAACTAAGCTGTAACTAACACAGCCTGCCGCACATGCAGACGCAGTACGCTAAGTGTCATCTTCTTCTCACGATCGGAAATGAACTACGTAACACAAACAACGTCAACGTGGATACACATATGAAGCCCGTCCCATCGATCAAACATGCCATGTGCATGCACACCGGCCCACAACTTAATCCACTGGCGCCATGGCTAGCGCATCCACGCATTCTCCAATAATTCGCTAGCTAGCCAGCATCATTATACGTACGGGCAAGAGATCACTAGCTTGTGCCCCCCACGGTTCGGATTAGATGGAGTATCACTACGCAAAGTAGTGCCTCGCTGACAAGGCAACAAAGGTAACACCGGTAGAATTGTATGTTTCTTTGACCATGACATGCGTGTATGATGCATATATGTGGATCATATGGTTGGCGTTTCCGTCATCCTGACATGCGAGGAGCACTCAAAGGAATGGGAAATGGAAGCTAGCTTTGTGGTGACTAGCTAGTGGTGCTTGATGCGGAGATCAGCAAGTTGAACAGAGCCCATGACGGCAACTTTGAGGGTAATCCTCAATAGGGTGTGGACAGTGGAGACACATGCCGAACTGGAAAAGAACCCTTCTTCCACCCGGCACCACTCCGAGTGGTCCTTCCAGCATCCCCATCTATCCCATTGGCCATAGGGCTGAAACACATCTTTATTGGATACTGACTACTAAACTACCACAATGTAATTCAAGACCGGCCTTAGGACAATATGCATGCATACTCTCCAGCCGTCTGGTTTTCGTGGACCCGATTTGTCAGATATGTGCCACATCAATGAGATACAAATTTCTCCCATATTTAGCACCATATACTTTTGATTCTGGGAAAACTTTGTTTTTACCATTCTAGCTTTTGCCTACTTTGTTTATGCCACTCTATAATTTGACATATCACTTCTGCCACTCTTAATTTTGACAATAGATCACAAATGTCATTCCATGGAAAAATCAATAACTTTTCATTTCACTTTTGCCACTCTTAGGTTTTGATAATGTATTACAATTGCCACTTTAAAATTATTGCTTTTGCAACGGAATGGCAATTGTGGAGTATTGTCCAAAACTAAGAGTGGCAAAAGTGAAATGTCAAATTATAGATTGGCATAAGTAAATTGGTCAAAAGCTAGAGTGGCAAAAATAAAGTTTTCCCTTTGATTCTTCCGTGCGCATGCACCCAAATTAACAGTAAAAATGGTATAAAATAACAATTCTGAATATTTTTGTAGCAAACATGATCGAGTCTTCTACCCACATGTATTTTTTTAGAAGGAATGGCATTCATGGTGTTCTCAACAAAAAGTCAAAATTGATGCTCTAAAAAAGGTCTTTTTGAAGCATTTTGGAGGTTCGGTTTTGTCTTCTTCGCCCATAGAGCAGTATGAATTTCATTTCGTCATGAAAATCCACATGTGAGTAGAACACTTCACTATGTTTGTTGTAAAAAAAGTTAGAATAGTTTTTTTAAAGATTTTACTGTTCAGTCAGGTGATGGGGAATGACGTCCACCATAGCATTGTTTATAATTGCATGGAGGGTGGCTGAAGGAGAGGGAAAAAAAGGGAAAATATGGGACCTGTTGCATCCTCGCTGATGTTGCTTATGATATCATTTGTGTTGCAGCCTTCTTAAGTGTAGTTTCTATCTCTCCTCCGCATGGATACTTCTTGTTTATTTTGGTATTGTAATGGAGTCTTATGGAGTTTGGTTTATTTGGGATTTGCAAGGTCATCCCCCCTCCTTTTCTAGAGTAGATAGCTTTTGAGTCATAAAAGAGAGTTGGGTCTTTACTCTTGTGATTCTACCTTTGCTTTGCTGCTCGTTCCTGGTACTGTTTTAGCTCTTATGGTAGGCTTTGGGTCTTAGTCTCGTGAACCTCTAATGGTTCTATTTCGGGAAACCCCTTTTGCTAAGAATAAGAATTGCATAGAGAAGTTTGGTGATCCAAATTTGTCGTAACGAATCAAAGGAAAACATTGTTTGCACGTCTACTCTTGCATCGCAAAAGGTTAGGCTCACTGGCAATGCCAAAAGGAGGTGCGCCAAAGAGTATTTGTGCAAGTAACACGATCTAAATTCGCAAAACAATCCCTAGTTCACCACATTCCACCATATTTTCGTAGTAACACACCAAATAGAGATAATGAGCCATGTGTAGAACTCGCGTTAAACTGTTAATACGACCTTGCAATTGCATATGCATATTTTTTTCCTCGTGACAACACATGGGTACCAACTATATATATATATATATATTGGACAAGGAGGCTTGCCCCCGGCCTCTGCATCCGAAAGATGCATGCGGTCATATTATTAAAAAGTTCAAAGCAATACAAAGTCTTAGATTCATTACAGCTCGCCAACAGAGCAAAAAGAAAAATAAAAACTCATTGCCACAACCGGTAGGTATGATAAGACAAGATCCCTAGACTCCTATCTTATTATGAGACCGTCATCCAAACCGGTTGAATATAGCCCGTGCTATCATCTCCCACTAGTTGCACCCAGTAACCAAAGGCTCCCTGGAGTCCGTAGGAATGAGTAAGGACCGCGTACGGATCCATGTCGTAGCCTTGAAGATGACATGTAGTTGCCTCGACATCACGGCGCTTGGCTGCCCTCATGGCACGCCCTAACTGCAAGTCGTTCGCGTCTAGTTGCTCCCGAATCCGGTTGCTGACACGCCTGCCAGCCGACACCGGGTCCAAGATCCCACCAAAAGCGATAATCTCCTCAGCCGTCCTCTCTCGGGGTGTCTGATCCCCGAGCTTACACCCGCCCATCATGGTTGGCGAACAGACGGGGGACGCGGCCGAAGTAGCACCTCCAGAAGGTACTATTGGAGAAGGGGACTGAAGAGCCTCCTGCTCGGCAGTCCCTA